GAGGTTGGGGGCAAATTGGGAGCTGACAAGGATGAGTACAAGAATGAAGAAAATGTTCTAAAACCGATGGTGGTGATGATTAAGTCTTCTCGATGTGATTGAACTATTGAATCGTATGACATGTGAATGCTATGCCAATGAAACTGTTCGAAACAAAAGAGCAAATATTATTTAGTACTACAGCACAGAGGTGAGGACATCTCAGGTGACACCGCAGCTAAAAGGTTGACTGCTGACAGGTCAGTGGTTCTAGCCCATCCGCGCACCGCTACAGGAAAGAAAACCGATGCTGAGCTGCTTCTGACTCACAGCGACCCTATAGGACAGAAGATTTCCAAGACTGTCAATCTTTACAGAAGCAATCCGTGAGCCCTCAGGGGCAGCTGGTTCTGTGCTGTGCTATTCCTATCGGGGCACTGTGGGTTGGGTGATTCAGTCGGCTTGACTCACAGGTAAGCATGCTGAGCATTTTCATGGTTTTTTTTTAAAGTGACTTAAGTGTTTTCACTCTTTTCGTTTGTTTTTTTTACTCATTTTATTGGGGGCTGGTTCAACTCATCACAATCCATACATATATCCCTTGTGTCAAGCACATTTGTACATTGGTTGCCATCATCATTCTCAAAACATTTGCTTTCTACTTGAGCCCTTGGTATCAGCTCCTCATTTTCCCCCTCCCTCCCCCCTTCCTCATGAACCCTTGATAATTAATGAATTATTATTTTGTCATAGCTTACACTGTCCAGCGTCTCCCTTCACCCACTTTTCTGTTGTCCATCCCCCAGGGAGGAGATTATATGTACATTCTTGTAATCGGTTTCCCCTTTCCACCCCACCCTTCCTTCACCCTCCTGGTATCGCCACTCTCACCACTGGTCCTAAAGGGATCATCTGTCCTGGATTCCCTGTGTTTCCAGTTCCTATCTGTACCAGTGTGCATCCTCTGGTCTAGCCGGATTTGTAAGGTAGAATTGGGATCACGGTCGCTTCAGGACCAGTGGTGCGAGTGGCAATACCGGGAGGGTGAAGGAAGGGTGGGTTGGAAAGGGGAAACCAATTACAAGAATCTACATATAACCTCCTCCCTGGGGGATGGACAACAGAAAAGTGGGTGAAGGGAGACGTCAGACAGTGCAAGATATGACAAAATAATAATTTATAAATTATCAAGGGTTCATGAGGGATGGGGGAGCTGGGAGGGAGAGGAAAAATGAGGAACTAATGCCAGGAGCTTAAGTGGAGAGCAAATGTTTTGAGAATGATGAGGGCAATGAATGTACAAATGTGCTTTACACAATTGATGTATGTATGGATTGTGCTAAGAGTTGTATCAGCCCCTAATAAAATGATTTAAAAAAAAAGAATTGGAGGGGAAAAATGAGGACCTAATGTCGGGGGTTTCAATGGAGAGAAAATGTTTTGAGAAACGATGTACAAATGCGCTTTACACAATTGATGTGTGTATGGATTGGGATAACAGTTGTATGAGCCCCTAATAAAATGTTAAAAAAAAAATTGGGATCATGATAGTGTGGGGGAGGGGAGGAAGCATTTAGGAACTAGAGGAAAATTGTATGTTTCATCATTGCTATACTGCACCCTGACTGGCTCATCTCCTCCCCACGATCCTTCTGTAAGGGGATGTCCAGTTGCCTACATATGGGCTTTGGGTCCCCAATCTGTACTCCCCCTCATTCACAATGATTTGATTTTTGTCCTTTGATGCCTAATACCTGATCCCATCAACACCTTGTGATCACACAGGCTGGTGTGCTTCTTCCATGTGGGCTCTGTTGCTTCTGAGCTAGATGGCCGCTTGTTTACCTTCAGGCCTTTAAAACCCCAGGCGCTGTATCTTTTGATAGCCAGGCACCATCAGCTTTCTCCACCATTTTCATGTGTTTTTCCAGGGCTTTTTCTATGCAAATAAGTATAGATTTTCTTTTAATTAAAAAAAAGTCACACAAGGCCATTTTACCACCTGCTTTTCCACTTCTGCATCACAGATATGCTTCTGTGTCAATCTTTATAAACCCACGGCTGTCGAGTCAAACCAAACTCATAGAGCCACCTTATAGACTTCTAATGGCTGCGCAGACTTTGCTTCTTTAAATTTTACTTACCGTTATTGAGAAATAAGCAAGCACACAATACCCCCCACCTCACTGCCACTGATGGAATGGATTCTGACTCACAGTGGGTTTCTGAGACGGCGAACCATTACAGGAGTAGAAAGCCTGATCTTTCTCCTGGGGAGAGCTTGTAGTCTTGAAGTACTGTCCCTCGGCGTGAGCAGCCCAACACTAATCCACCCCACCAGAGCTCCTTGCCGTGGAGAAGCTACACAGTAAAGCTACAGCAATCCAACCGTTGCTACCTGGACAAGGTAGTGACATCGTCACATCCTTTGGATTGTCCAACCATCCTCACCTTTTCTGAGTGCCCCTCTCACTGCCATAAGGTCACTGCTCCTAAGAGCCTCTTTTGGTGACTCTTGTCAATTTGATCCCAAATACATAGTTTCAAAGAGCATGATACTCAAGGCAGACTGTTTTCAGTAGTTAAGATTTCAGGGCTTACATCTGGTTTAAAGTTAAAAGGTTATCTCAGGGCAATCAATCTTAGGAGTTTATCCATCACTATGAGTCTGAATCACTTTAATGGTAGTGAGTTTATTTTATTTTTAGGGGTTTTTTTTGGCTCCAGAAGTCTCAAGCCCCTAAGGATGTTCAATGCTGCTCTACATTTCCCCCTTTTGATCCAGATTCTGCTATGGGAGATACAACCAAAATGTTCTGGTTTCATGGAAAAGGTGCTAGTTATTCATGGAGGCAACTGGCCACACACAGTCCATAGCTCTTGGTCCCTCTGTTATTTGCAGGTGAATTGTATCTTGGGTGGTCCTTTTCAACTTTAAGACCGCAGGCACGATGCAACAAATCACCTGTTGGCTATTTTAACTGTTTTCTTTCTCTTTTTTGATGTCTATTTTTTGCCATGAGGTGGGCTGACTACAATTTACTTAACATTTTTGTATTTGTATACTTACATCATTTTTCTTCTTTTGTTTTGGCTAGAATAGTTCTGCCCCGAACATTTTTAGGCTTTCCCCCTATTTGGGGGAAATGGCTTTCTCCCTATTTTGTAAGTGGGTCAAACGACAGGGAAACGTGATGATTCTTGATGTGTAGCGCTC